AGAATGCAATCTCCCCAGAAAGATATAGGAATCTGTGCTTGGAAAAACAATGCTCTAGCCACATTGAGAAGGTGCTGATGTTTTCGTTCAACAACAGAGTTTTGCTCAGGGCAACCAACACAAGAAAACTGATGAAGCACACCCTTTGAACCAAAAAACTCTTTGAATTGTAACTCAGGAGCATTATCAGATCTAAAAACCTTAATAACTTTGTTGAACTGTGTCTCAATAAGGCTGAAAATTTTTGGAATGATAGTATGAACATCTGATTTGTTCCTCATTAGATAAACCCATGTAAACCTCGTGCAATCATCAACCAAAGTAAGAAAGAATCTGTAACCATCACGTGTTGGAGAACTATAGGGGCCCCAAGTATCACAGTGAACAAGATCAAAAGGATTCGAAGACAGATGATTATTGGATATAAAAGACAATCTACGTTGCTTAGCCAATGGACAAATGTAACATATTGAACTACATTTATCATTCTTAAAATTGAGTTGATCTCTCAAAACCTCCAATCTTCGAAATGACAAATGACCAAGACGATTATGCCAAACATGTTGAGGCACATTATTCATAACAGAAAAAACGGGATTACAGACTCCTTCAAAAAAATTACATTCATCTGGCATGCCATTGCCTACTACATTAAGTGCATCAAGTATATAAAGACCACCAACTCTCTTAGCTCTGCCAATCATCTTCGAGCTGCAAGTGTCCTGAAGATGACAATTATCAGTGAAAAATCTAACACTGATGTTGGAACTCCTTGTTAGAGAACTGATGGATAACAGATTGAACTTAAATTGTGGTACATATAATACATTCTGAAGGATCAATTCTGCAGTTAACTTTACAGATCCAATCAATCGCACTGGTATTTTGACACTATTAGGTAATGTGATGAAAACATTACTCATAGCCTTCAATGTTTGAAAATTCCCATAATCGGAACAAACATGACTGGTAGCACCTGAATCTAATACCCAGTGTGTAGGAGAACTGATAACTTGATTAATGGAAATAGTGAGAC